TTCTCTTATCTGTTCGGTCAAGGCAATATAAAATGCATTTTCTTGTAATCTGGTGCAAAACTTGCCGCGGTATATGACATTGTCCTTCACTGAAGTTAAGTGGGTTTTTTTTTACCTATTTACAAGCATAATAGCTGATGTGTGGAAAACAGACCCAGAGAGATTTCTAATTTCTGGTAGACGTATTTCCCTTCTGATCAAGCAACTTGAAGCTCAAAGAGAAATATATGGAAAAGTAGGGAACAGTCAGGGGGCTCTACTTACGTAATTTGAGAAAGATCTGTGATTTGCTTTCTTAGACATATTCAATGTGTTTTCCTGGTGGCCATCACTTTTTTAGTAAAGCTGAACATAAAACGTAGATACTGTAACTAAGAAACAAGTCAACAGTAGTATAGAAAGGGACAAAACATCCCTCCAGTACTTTCTGAGAAATTACAGGGTTGCCAACTCTCACGCATCGTCGGATACACACGGTTGATTTTGCTTCGGTACTCACTCGAAAGCAACCGTGGGTATCCGACGATGACTCTCACGGCGTGAGACAAAATCTCACGTTGAGACGTCCTTACTCACGCTGAAACATGTCTCACGCCACGTGAGCCATAATCTCACGCATTCGAAAATATTCTCCCTCCATCCAGCTGAGAAAAGGCTAATGCAAATAGGAACTTTCTTAATTCAAGATGGCTGCCAGTCAGCCATCTTGGATTTCTAATCAGTCTTAAAATTCGATATGCGATATGGTACTTTCATGTGAAAGGGTTTAAGAACGATCCCTCAAATACTTTCTGAGAAATAGTGCTGACAAACTTTAACTCTCAGATTGTCACCTGTCAGCCATCTTTGTTTTCTAGGAAGTCCTAAAATTCGACATCATGTGAAAAACCATTGGGAAGTCTTAATGTCAAATTTGAAAAAAGAACTAACAAGATTTGTTTAAGGATGGACCACGGACAAACGAGAAGGCAATTTAAACAACCCATTATCTTAGAATGGTCGGCTAATGTAACAAATAAAATATAACACAAGATCATTCATATTAAAACTTGATATTTTTCATGCTTAAACTAGTATCCTATTGGCTTAATACACTACCCTTAGCCAGTTGGTTATTTAGAGTGATCTAAAAATTTCCCCAAATTTAATTTCAAAGATTTTCCAGGTGGGTTAAGGTCATTCTAAGGTGAACAAATTTGAGAATTCTTATTATAATATGACAGAAGGTTGCACATCAAACGTCTGACCTCAGTAACCTTGAACCTCAACCAAAGTCATATAGTTTAACCAATATTGGTAGCCCTTCATCCTAGCTTAAATTCTGGTCAAATATCATCATTCAGGACTATTTGTTATTTTGCAATATTGTTTTTAATGATTGTTATTTATATAAGACTTATGTCCAGGAATTGGTCGCTGGTTGGTGGTTTTCCCCGGGTTCTCCGCTTTTCTCCGAACCATTTAAATCTGACTCCAACATACCCTTGTCTCCTGCACACATACACAACACACATGGAGGCACGTCCTTAAATGACATTAGCTGTTGATAGGCGTTAAACAAAATGAAATAAAAACAAACAAACCAAACGACCATAGATGACGTAAAGCACAAACAAACCAAATATTTGAAAAAACACAAAGCCTGGGTGGTTAATCCTAGCAAAAAAAAAAGGCCCATGATGATGATATTTTGCCATTAACTTGCTTGGATAAAGCGCTATAGAGTTCTTTAAATGAATGATCTTGACTCATATTCAAGGTCCGGGGGTCAAATATGTTTTAAACCTTTAAACGACATCTGCTGAAATTCGGCCAGTATCATACCTGGATAAAGGGCTACTTCGTTTGTTCAAATAAATGACATTGACTTATATTTAGGGTCATATAGGGGTCAAATATGTTTTAACTTTAAAACGACATATTCTGAATAACCATAAAGCCAAGAATGTTGATATTAGGCCAGTAGCAGGATTGGATGAAGGACTACTAAGCTTCTTTAAATGCATGACCTTGACCTATATTTAAGCTCACAGGGTTCAAATATGTTTTAAACCCTTATGCAACTTCTCCTTAATAACCGTAAGGTCCATGTTTATGATATTTGGCCAGTAACATCCTGGAATGAAGGGTTCTTTTTTTCCCAAATGAATGACCTTGACTTATATTCAATGTCACAGGTATCAAATATGTTTGAAACATTTAAACGAAATCTTCTGAATAACCATAGAGCCCAGAATGTTGATATTGAGTCAACGGCATGCTTGGATACATGGCAACGACCTTTGCTCAAATGAGTGACCTTGACTTAAATTCAAGGTCAGAAGGGTCAAATATGTTTTACAACTTTAAATGACTTCTTCTGAATAACAAAAAGGCCCAGGATGATATTTTGCCAGTAACATGCTGGCATGAAGGGCTACTATGTTCAAATGAATGACCTTGAGATATATTCAAGATCACAGGGATCAACTATGTTTGAAACATTTACACAACATTTTCTGAATAACCATAAGCCCCAGGATGATTATATCTAGCCAGTAGCATGCTTGAATGAAGGACTACCAAGTTTGTTCAAATAAATGACCTTCATAAGTTTTAAACCTTCAAACACCTTCTTCTGAAAAAATCAAAAAACTCAAAGTGTTGATATTTGGCCAGTTACATGCCTGGATAAAGGTTGATTACCCACTTTCAAAACCTTTAAACGTCAAATGTGTTTAAATCTTTAACATGTTCTTCTGAATGACTTAGTCATAGTACTGAACACTGATAATTTGTCTGTAGCTTTATTTTAGGCAACTTTTAAGGTAACAAGTGTGAGATTTATACCGGGTGAGCAATGCAGGCCCTTTTGGGCCTCTTGTTTTTGTTGGGTTTTTTTTAACATATTTTACCCCTGTGACCTTGAAAGTATGTCAAGGTCATTTTAAGTTGCAAACTTTGTTCAACTTCATCCCAGGAAGCTATGTGCCTCATATCATGAATCTAGGCCTTTTGGTTCTTAAGACAAAGTCATTTAAATGAAAAACTTAGGATAGGTCAGCTCAAAATATTGATGATCGGTGGATGGAAAAGAGACATTGTGCCATGGAATAAACAGGAAAATTTCTTTACCGATTCCTCTGGAGATATCAAAAATAAAACATAAATAAAGCAAAGACAGTATCAATGATAATGTAATGATAACAACTTTATTATTGTAGATACGCATTGAAATTTAACAATTTGAGAGACAGTTATTAACATGAATTGTTTCACAGAGAACTTGACTAAAAGTTAGACTTAAATCTATGTGTATACAACAAAATATATCAGCCATTTAAATTTCGAATTATTTTACTAAATGTTGATGCCAATATTGATCAATATCAAAATTCTGGAAAAACATGAATATTGGAATGAATAGAAAGCAGGATATTTTTTGTGAATAATTAGATAAGTAATTTTACTATTAACCATATCATCCTGGTTGCAATTTATTTAGCTTTAGTTTGTATAATTATGAAATTAGAAAATCTTAAACAGGACACTCTGTAAGCATATATCAAAATGGTGAGGAGGGGGCAGATATGGGACATACCAAGGACATCAAAACCATCGTAGGACTGTGGTAGACTTAGGCATTAAAAACCCAGCTAACATAAAGAATAAACAGTGTGAAAAAAACAAATACTGGAATTAAATATAACTTTCTGGATGGAATACAAGTCATGTTTATATATATCATGATAGGATATTTAAAAAAAATCATTAACGTGTCAATCTTTGTGTATCTGTTTGGAAGCTAAACTGAAATAACTTTGAATACGCTGATACTTTGTTAAAAAAAAGGTAAACTCTGGAAAAACATGAATATTAGAATGAAATTAAATCTAGATATTTAGAAGCAATTGTGAACAAAGAATATATAATTAGCCCTAACCCATATTAACTTGTAAAATGTATAATAGTTTGAATGAGTAGAACTCTCTGATGTGCAGCAGGCCAAGTTTACGGGTTTCAAGTCCACGCCAGCGACTTGCGATGTTACAACTTTTCACAGTGTGCCAGAGGATCGCATCCTGTTCTGCAAATCACGTATTTCTACTTTCCTCTCCCCAAAAATTAATCCCTATCCCCACTTTGTAGAATTCAGGTTACTTACTAATATTGAAAGATTGAAATTATTTCTTTAAAATTCTATGAAAAAAAATCATACGGAAAAATACTGTTTTTTTGAGCTAAAATGAAAGAGAGACAAGAATTTAAAAGATTAAACAGGAATTGTTTATCAAAGTAAAAAAAGATTGGAATTAATTCCATAAAAAAAAAATGATGACGATTCTACACAAATTTTGGCTTATGAACAGATAGAACTATTGTAGGCGCAAGTGTATTTTTTTTCAAATGTGGTTTCCCACTTGTTCCAAGAAACTAAAAAAACAATCTAAACCATGGCACCCTGTACACATATAATGATCAAAATGGTTGGGGAGGGGCTAGAAAAGGGGTATGCATTGGGCTTCAAGCCTTATGAGACTGTGGCTGGCTGATACATGGAATAAAACAATAGGAAGGAAAGTACTAGACAAGAATTGGAATTTGAAAAAAAAAATCATAAATATCAGTTTCTGTATGGAACACATGATTAGTCATAAACAAAAATATTTTGATATTATATGTAAAAACTTACAATTAAACTGCATCTAATATGAAAATGTAGCACTGCAGCCTGAGTATAATGTAAAGTTCATCAAGCTATAACAATATATAGGTAGAATGTATAAACCTTGGATTGTAAATATACCAAAGTAGATTGTATATATATATATATATATATATATAACATACAACATGTATCTCACTTAACACTGAACTTTAAAATTTATATTGATACATAAAGGGTATATAAAAGACAAATATCACAGATTTTAAAATTGAAATAAAAACAAGTGTATAGGATTTTCAAAATGTTAACCAATGTTAAAAAGTTGCAAGATATGGCATAAAAATATCTTTTCTACAAAAAAGCGCAGCTAAGAATTGACAAATTGGCAATTATCTGTTTTGATTTCAAATTGAGATACAGTATAACGTTTTTATTGAGAATATCACAGGTTCTTTCATCTGTCTTTAATAATTAATCTTTAAATGTCTTAATTTACACACGGAATTAATGAAAAGATTGTGATGATATAAAAATCAATAATGTTTGAAATGTTCTTAAGGTGTTTGTGATAGATAGATGGTTTTTATAGGTAAGTGAACAGAGGGATAGAATGCAGTGAATTCAAAAATGTTCACAGAGCACATATCTTATTGTCAACAGACCGGAGTGATAAGTTTTCATGATTACTCCAGGCCTAAAAATTACTTGCGTATTCATTTTTTTCAAGTAGTTTATCTATATTAATATAAAGTAATGATCTCAATATTTCCGGAGTCAGGCTTTGATGAAGACAGAAAGAAGATGTACAGATCTAATTAATTAGGTTGATTAGCCCATCCATCATCATCACAAGTTCGTCCATACTCGGCCTTGCGAGAGCGACTTGATCCGTACATCTTTCACCAATGTCCTCTAATTCGTCGATTCTCCAGCCGATTTCGCCAATTAATATCCCTAAGCTGTAGATGTCTGCAGCCACACTGGTTGGATTGTCTCCCTGTCTGACCTCTGGTGCCAAAAAACTGTATTTAATGTCAGAATTTGGTTCGTAGGACTTTTCATAGGTCATTCCAACACCAAATGTAGCCAAACCAAAATCGATGTATCTATAAATAGAAAAACATTATTCCTTTAAATACATGTATTTACATTTGCGCTGCAACCTACTATATGAACAGTAACATCAGAAATTAATTTCATTTGAGTATAAAAGCAAAAAACTCTTGTGATATAACACATGGTTTACTTATGATGTCATAGATTGACCTTGTTCAATGAAAGTCTTGTTGCTTTGTTCAGATAACATAGAGAATGCCCCCGCGTCAAACGCTCAAATGACCACGGTTAGTTATTAGCGCCAATTTTATTTCATTACGACTGGTCTGCCCATGTTGTTTAAGGGAAGACGCATATACAAAACACAGTAAATAAATAACTTAAATTAATCAATTGTTCTAAAGTAAAAATGTAAATATATGGATTGAACGATGTTTTTAAAATTTTCATGCGGTATGAACGCAAATCGATAACATCCATATGGCATGAAGCCTGCTAGGGCTTTATGTTTAATATGGATGTAAGAAAATTTTATAAACACAATTCAATCCCTATATAACAACAGCTATAATTATAAACAAATTATTTTCAGAGTTAAAATAATTAAAATAATTGTTTGACTGCTTTCAGATCAAATACTAGACAGTTTATAATGCAAATTTCAAATAGGTTTGCTTTTTGTATAGCAATTTCAAACAATTAATTCATTAGTTCTTGCACAGAAATAGATTAATTTATATAAGTTTGTGGTCCAATTTGTTCCTGTCATTCAAAGCACAGAAATTTTCCCCAAGTAATTTTAGTGCTTTGAAAGTTGTAAACAATAAGTCAACTCCACCCAGATTTTTTTTACAAAAATAAAAACTAATTTCAACTATTCCGTCTTTGCGTATTGCAGAGTTATCTTCTCTTGTGAGCAGGTATTGATTGTTACGTCATTTGTTTGTGAGAGTAACGTCATCAATTTGTGAGAAAACGACGTAATTTTCAGACTCAAACCAATGAAGTAACAATCAATACCTTCTCACAAGAGAAGATAACTCTACAATACGCAAAGACGGAAAACATATACATGTTATATTATACACAGATCATTTTATGCATTTAACTTTAATTGAAAATATTTCACCAAAACAAAGGGATAAAAAACTAACTACTAATTTGCTAAATAAGGACCAGACACTTGTACTGTGAAGTTACAATTTGACTGTCTCTCTGTATCATCCTTTACCTGATATTGAATTCCCTGTTGGATACATCCACTAAGACATTGTCATTTTTCAAATCGTTTACCAATACGCCTCTGGAATGGATGACCTAAAATACATACCAGACATAGATAGTAATACCCAAAACCACATTTTAATAACATTAGAGAGTCAACATAAATTTTTAATCAAATATAAATTGTAACTGTAAACCTGTGATCCTTAACTTATAAATTCAGCATAAAATTAACCTGTTACACTTAACTTATAACAAAGTATAAAATTTGACCTGTAACACTGAACTTAAAACCAAGTATAAACTGTAAATTTGTGGCCCTTAACTTATAACCAAGTGTAAAATTAACCTCTGGCTGTAAACTTATACTCGAGCATGAATAATTGTAGCCTTTATATATAACCCATTACATATAGCCATGTATTAACTGTAACCTGTAACTCATCACTTATATTATACTTGGTAATTGTGTAACCTTGTGACCTTTAACTTATAACCAAGTACAAACTGAGTTTTGCAACCCTTTAACTCGTCTTATAACCAGATATAAAGTTTAACCATGTAACCCTTCACTTATCACCAAGTATAAACTGTAACCTCTGACCCTGAACTATTAACAAAGTATAACTGTAAGTTGTGGCACTAAACTTATAGCTACATTTAAACTGTAGATAAGTGACCCTTAATTTATAAGCAAAACAATATATAAACTGTAATTTGTGTCCATGAACTTAACCCTTTCACCCCTGTATAACTTCAGTAGACTAAACCATGCATTGATTGGGACGAGTCCATCAGGGTCAACAGTGGTGAAAGGGTTAAAACCAGGCATAAAGTTTACCTAATCATTGTACCTTGTGAACCTTATCATTATGTTTAACTTAAGTTTACTATATTTGTTTGGAAAACCTTATTTTATTTTATTTTAAAGTATATGTCCTATAGAAAAATTCCTTGAAAGGAATACTAAAGTTAGTAAAATGGAAAGTAAGATGAGTATTAGATAAAGTGAAAGCTAGTTCACAGGTAGACTATATAAATAACTTACCTTAAGTGCATGAACCAGTCTGTAACATAGGGTGATGGTCTCTTTTTCGTTCAAAGTAATTTGATGTTTGTTCATCATCCCAATGAGTTTATACAATGTCATACCATCACCAAAAAACTCCTGGACAAGAGTGAATTTTTGTATGTCCCCTGGCTCCGGGAGCACTCCAAAGAATTTCGGCACCACACCCGTGTTCTGTAGGAGAGCCATTATCATCCCTTCATTGACTATTGTGTGTGGCACCAGTTCAGCCTGATGGTATAGTTTTACGGCGAGCTGGTATCCGGACGACAGGAGACTGGCGTGGTACACACTTCCTGATACCCCGCTCCCGAGGACCTTGAACATACCACTGGGTTCTTTGGTAAATGTGACAATGCGGGGGTCAAGGATGAGGAATGAGATGTGAGGAGTATGGATCGAACACTTCCTGATCTGGTAGTCAGGGTAAGGACTACCAGGTCGCACAACTACAAAATAAAATGAAAATTGAAGATATATTGATGTCCATTCCAATATTGAATATAGGTCAGCTTTAAAGTTGTTTCTCAAAACATCTGTTTCAAGAAAGAAAGCTTTGCGGAATGACAATTATTTACTGTGTACCTGTAAAAGATTTCCTATCAATTTCTGCACACTTTTAAACTTTGCAAGCAAAATGACAATAAAAAGTTTGAGAAAAATGAAAATGATGAAAAAATTATTGACATGGCTTTCATTTTTCTCAAACTTATTTAGTTTATAAAAGGGTTTAGTTCTTAATCATTCAACATACATATTAGACATTGCAATTGATTTACCTCCAAATGGTAGAGATAAACTCCCAGATGAGGTACTCTCCGATGAAGCAGATGATTCTGTTGACAGCCGAGACGACTCAATGCTCCATATGGACTGAAAGTTCTATTGATATACAGAAATAACATGATAAACTACAGCTGAAGTAAACTATAAATATATTTGATAGGTAATATGTTTCTTGACTAATGTAGAATAAGTAAGAGAAAGTTTATATTATCACTAAATTTCTAGGATATCATAGGTACTGATTACAAAGGGCATTAACTCTGCAAATACTTATGCTAAAGTATGCCTCATACATTCACAACTACTTCAAATGTCAGAAAATTCTTTAAAGTTTTAGGAAATCAAGGAATTAAAGCAGGTAAATGAACACTGCCATCAGATGCTGTTGGTCTAGTTAACAAGAAGTTGGATTTGATGTTTAAATTTTGAATTATCAACAACATATCAAATATAAAATTGAATACCTCCTTCTGGACAAAGTAATGTGGGTCAAACTCACCCTATTTAAATGTTCTGAAGCAGCAGGAGATACTGTTTGTAGGGTTTGATCCTCCAGCCAGTGGGGTACCAGAATCTGAACAAGATAGTCATCATTTTAATTTAGATGCCTTGTATTGTCACTGTTCACAGGGATGTACAATTTCATAGCCAGAATAATAGGCCGTAGAATGATTTTTAAAATTTCTACCAGCCAACCTATTATTTTCATAGTAATTACGAAAAAATGTCCACCAACCAAACACACTGTATTTATCGGGAAATAAGTCCATGACTGGTAATAAACAAGCTCCCCCATATTTATAAAAGTTAAGCAGAAATTCCAGCAAATTAATTTTCAATATCTTGTAATAAACCCACCTATCCACTCTAATTCTTTCAGGATATATATGGTAAAATCTAAAAGCTCCAGGCAATGACTGAGCGAGTGGAATTATATCCCTGGTTCGATGGATTTATTTTTGTTAATTTTGGCATTTTTTTCCATGAATACAAGTGATATTTTTTAAGTCCAGTGCTTAGATCAGATCTAGATCTGGAGACGGGGAGTATCTATGTAAGATTTTCAGAGGTGTATATCTATTTTTTCCTTTTAACTTGTATATTTGTACTTACTGATGGAGATAGTGATGGTGATACAGGGGTCATTGCTGGTGTCATCTGTACTAGAGATGTAGTGGTCATTGCTGGTGTCATCTGTACTGGTGATGTAGTGGTCATTGCTGGTGTCACCTCTATAACTGATGTTTTTTGGCCTTGGTGTGCCTTGAAACAGAAAGAATTGTTAGATAATTTTACTCAGTAAATTATAAATGTCTACAAGTTTTCAAATAATTACAGGTTATATAAACAAGCAACAATAGTGTTTACATTTTCATATGTTGTGATAACATAGGAGAATGATGTTTAATATTGTGTATGCGATGGCCCGGTACCTGCCATGGAATGGGAGTTGGGGTTGGTGGGGGATTGAAAGTGAGGTCTAGGGGTGAAGTCACAAGTGGGAGAAGGGAAGGTCCCAGGACCTGTAGAATTTTTAGGATGACAGTCAGCTCCAATAAAATATAATATTAGGAGGAAAGGGATGGAGGGTTGGGGCTGGGCGCAAACCAAGAGACAATATTAAACTAATGAAAAAAAAATCAGGTCTTTTTTTGCTGTTAGTCATTATTTAGTGAGGAAGTGTAGAAAAGTACACTTATACATTTTTTGGACATGCTTAAATTTATGTCTTTGTTAAAACATTAAGAATGTTAAATTTTGCTACCAATCCTTCTTTTCAAAATCAAATGTACAGTATATATACATTAAAAGATTACATTAAATATTAAACAGGTATTTTTTAATAAAAATCATTGATCAAATTATAGAGGAATCTTTATTTGTTGCCCTTGATTTACTTGGTACACACACATGTAAGTCTGCTATTGTCAATAATTAACAATAATAGTGATATAAACAATAACCCCAATAATATGCTTTAAGCATATTACTAGGGTTATTGTTTATATTACTATCATTGTTAATTATTGTTAGAATTTTAGACTCTGTGCTTGGTGTGGAAATATATATAGTATGTCTTATAATGTGGAATAAATAAAGACTATATTCTAGTATGGATTGCATTACCTGAGTGAGTGCAACTTCAGCAATATACTGCCGCAACAGTCCCGGTCGCTTTTTTGTCCATACTTCTTTGAAAAGTTGGTTCTGGAAATCAGGAACATTAAAAAGATTCTAAGTGGTGTGTTCCATTATAAAATACTAGCTTTTACTCCGTACAATACAGTAGGCCTAGTTATACAATATTTTTTGACAATTCTAAAGTGATAACACATATTATATATATGGGGCAAGTATCTGAAGCCCATTTAAACAAACATCACGGACAAAGATATTAGGACACGAGCCCTCTATTTGATATATACTTGGCTTTTACAATGAGACTTACCTTATAATAAGCTTCTGGTTTCCAGATATAAGCAAGAAAGTTTTTTAGATCAATGTTCCTGCTATTAACTTTGATAAAGTTCGAGTGGGAGATTGTAAACAGTTTCATTTTCACTTTTCAGATCTCCCGCATTCTAGACTCTCCGTTGTTATGACGTTCGGGAGACTTCTAGAGTCTTCATGACTATATAATTAAAATGACAATTATGATGCTTTCCGAACGAACAATAGAATCACGTGGCCTATCACGTGTTTCCGCCCACCTCTTTTGGATTTATCTTCAATCTGAATCGGCGGGAACCATTGACCATTGGCACTTTATAAGAATAAATAAAGACTATATTCTAGTATGGATTGCATTACCTGAGTGAGTGCAACTTCAGCAATATACTGCTGCAACAGTCCCGGTCGCTTTTTTGTCCATACTTCTTTGAAAAGTTGGTTCTGGAAATCAGGAATATTAAAAAAATTCTCAGTGGTGTGTTCCATTATAAAATACTAACGTTTACTCCGGACAATAAATTAGGCCTAGTTAAACAATTCTAAAGTGATAACACCTATTATATATATGGGGCAAGTATCTGAAGCCCATTTAAAACAAACATTACGGACAAAGATATTAGGACACGAGCCCTCTATTTGATATATACTTGGCTTTTTTCCGTAAACGTGCTTTCTCGTAATATGACAAGGAAATCTTTACTATCAAACATTATTAAATAACTAAAAGGGAAAAGATACTAAAAGGGTACTTTTCGAAAGATGTCTAATACGGCGCGGATGTAGGAGTAGGACGTGTCTACCATATCCAAGCTGTCCTGTGACCCTAGCCTACTCATTGCGTTTTGTTTGGCCTGTATGACCAAATATAGTATTACTACTGATGCCGCCATGTTTACTACAATTTCCATATTGGGTCATAACACCCATATTTAGACGTCTGACCTATATTGGAAGAGAGACAAACTTTCCAACATGGCGGTCAATTCAGATTTCGATTGCGCTTGCTACGTTAACTTGATAATTTTACGACATTTTAGGCAGTGTTTAACATCAAGTTGTGCAGCATATCAACAGAAATAGTTCATACTACAACCTTATTTATGGATGCGGACCAATGTGCTGTCAATTAATTCTAAAATCGCCCCGATGTGATTCACACCGGGCTTGCTAATACCCGGCCGGGGCAGAGGAGGCCGGGTATTAATATTAGTGGACTAAACACTTTTCAGTCTGATGTGATGAAAAAATAACGAGTTTCGGGAAGTGCTTTCGCATATTGGAATCATGCAACAAATTAATTGAATCGGATTGCAAACATGGTACATGTAAATGATCAGGGTCTTTTCATGATGATGATGATTATGATGAGTGCGAATGGTGATGATGATGATGACGATGGTAATGATGATGATGAACGGGAATGCTGTAGACGATGAAGATGTTGATTGTGACAAATTATAAAACTAGGGTGTGTTGTGCGCATTTGTATTACTAGTATATGATTGTATGTATTTATGCCATCTTTGTAACATATATTTTATGCTTAACCGATAAGCTGTAATGCTTACAGCCTAAAATAAACTGTAAACTGTAATTTGTTGCTTTGGATAGTAGCTAGAAGTAATTGGAAACTTTTTTTTTCACTGTCAAAATATCATATATTTTTTTATCTTTCATGTTAACGTACTGTTCATATTACTCTACTATGGTAAAGTTCTTGCTTTTAATATGAACTGTTCTTTTTTCAACAGGTCATGGAACATCCCATGCCATACTAGCAATATTGACAGCAAAACAAAAAAGTGACTGGTACCTGTTCTAGCCAAGAGAGAAATCGTTACAAGAAAGGCCTTTGATTGTAATGTGTTGCACCTCTGGTGTCAGGTTGTTTGTGTGATAAATATTCCTACAAAGATATTGAAGTGAACAGAGATCAGCTATGCATATATTATAGTAGTCAGAGAAAGCCAGGGTTTGTTTGGTACATAGGTAAATGTTATCTCAACATCCGAAACAACGTTACGCCGCGACGCCGTCAAAAGTCTCACACTTAAGAAAACCCAGTGGAGGGAGATCTCCCACACTGGACTCCTTAGAGGTTGGCAACCCTGAAATTATAATAAAAAAATTCAACTGTCAAAGTTCAAGATGGCCACGTAGCCACACTCTCCCTCTAAATTTTAGTCTCAACGTTGAACTTGCAAATCTAAGAACCAATGGAAAACTACATGTGGAATTTGAGAGAGAAAAAAAAATCAAGTACTTCTTTAGAAATAGCGATGAAAACATTGAACTGTCAAAATCCAAGATAACTGCCTGATGGTCATCTTGTTCTTTCGATCAGTCTCAAAATATATATACAGGCACAACTGCATGAAGACCAAGAGGAACATGCATATAAAATTTGAGAGGGATTTTTCAAGTACCTCTTGAGAAATGGAGAACAAACATGAGCTCTACCAATCCAATATGGCTGTCTGGCAGTCATCTTGTTTGAACGACCAGTCTCAATATAAAACACAACTATGGGTAGAGGGTGTCCTACATATGACATCTTAGAAATCTCTGTCATGTTTTTCTTGACAAACAGCATTAAAGTATTAAATTATGAAAAATCAAGATGGCTGCCTATTGGCCATCTTTTCCCCCCGATCAGTCTTAAAATGAAACATGTACGACTTAATTTGAGAAAGATATGTCAAGAATTTCTTCCGAAATAATGATAACACACTTTCATCGTCAAAACCAAAATGGCTGCCTGGTGGCCATCTTGTTGTTCCAATCAGTATCATGATACAACCTGAACATCTCAGGACTGAGGCGAACCTACATATGGAATTTCAGAAAGGCATGTATAGTGCTTATGTAGGAAAATAGCGAAAACAATATTTAACTGTCAAAATCCAAGTTGGCTACATGGCGGCTTCCTTGTATTTCCGATCAGTCTAAAAATGACACCATGCACAACTAAGGACAAGAAAGAACATTCGAATTAAATTTCTAAAACGTCTGTCAAGTATTTCTTGAGAAATAGCAATTAAAATGGAACTGGCAAAAACCAATATCGGCCATCTTGTTCTTCTTCTAATGAATTAATATCTGAAAAATCTAGTCGCTCATTGGCAGCCGTTATTCTAAGCTAATACATTTGGTTGTCATTGATTGACATAATTGAATTTGTGTAATATACATTTTGACTACTATATCTTATATTATAAGAAAAACATTTACGTACATGTTTGCAGAATATTTCAAAAAATTTCATTAGCATGTTATAATAAATCATTTAAAGGAATTTTGCTCATTGTTAACATGTTGATAGATGTTATAAAATAGTTTGTGTTTTGTCTTATTACTTGAGCATTGATGAAGCAGCCACCTGTCTTAAGCACCCAACATGATAATCTGCCGTAGGTGACCGCTTAACGCAGATTTGACTGTCTATAGGACGAGCTACATATTCCAGAGGCTATCTCAAGACTTTCTTTTCAGTTCAGTTCTTTATTACTTAAACCCCCCGGTTCATCAGTACAATACATATATATATATATGGAGCACAAACGCAAAACATCATAATATACAAGGAATCGCATCACACACAACACACTAGCTTTCCTGTTTGTACTGACTAAAAGGGGAGGAAGCCGGTTCCCGAATCTTGCTTGAGACTTATTAAACGGTTTATGAAATCCACTGGTACTTCACGATCTATACCTACTCTTGTAGATCCCCATACTAACATTGTTACTAATGACGAAGATAAAGCTAAATTATTAAATGACAATTTTTGTAATATAGCACAAGTAAATGATAGTAACACAGTGGTTCCTATTGTTGAGCCAAAAACTGCCAAACGTTTAGTTCTATTAGAGTAAATAGCAGTTAAATTCGAGACGTTCTACAGATATTGAAGCTCGGTAAGGCCGCGGGCGAGGATAGATTCAGCCATCACATGTGAAGAAATACATCACAACCCGTTAGTATTCCACTTGAAACTACATGTATTTTAATTTATCTTTATCGACTTGTAGATTCCAACAACTTGGAAAATAGCCAAACGCATGCCACTTTAAAAAAAAGGTGACAGGCATTTTCCTTCTAACTATATGCCAATTTTCATTTTTATCTACCGTTGGGAACATTTTGCACGATTCATCTCCAAACACCTACATAATTATTTTATAGAAAAGTTCATGTTTTATAAACACCAGTTGGGTTTTAGGCATGCTCATGCTACTGTACTCTATATCAACTCATTGAAAATCACGACATATGTATTGCTCTTCAAGTTAAAAAAAAAAAAAGTTAGAATCTTACGGAATTTCCAGTGAATTATATACCTGGTCAGAAAATTATCTATTTCATAGGCAACAAAGTTTTCTTAAATAATTCTTATTCTCAATTAGATTTAAACGAAGCAGGGATTCCTCAAGGTTCCATTCTTGGACCGCTTTTATTTTTAATGTACATTTATGACACTACCGATGTCTTTGAATCAGCTGCTCGGTTTTTTGCAGCTGACACCTCTTTATTGAAATTATCTCTATCGTGTCTTGAAATTCAAACAATTTCGAATAGGGATCTTGAGTCTTGAAACTTATGGTCGACATCAAGGAATTTGTATTTGTAATTTGAGGGAAAAGATTGAATTTTACAGATCATCATAAGCATCTGGGAGTAGTTTTTAATTCAAGCGCAAAACGTGGAGATCATGTTAATGCGATTTATAGTTTTATTAGGAAGAAACTTGACGGCTTGAGATATTTGCTAAATCGTAATCGTCTTTTAAAAGTTTATAAATCATTTATTTTACTAGTTTTAGAATATGCGTGTGAATTATGGAAAGGTTGTGCTAAAATAATCAGAAAAGTTAAAAGAAAGCCCAAAGAGAAACTGCTCGTATTATAACAGGCCTTCCTTCATATGCAGGTATTGAAAATGTACACCCTGAAACAGGTTTAGAAACTCTTTCAAATCGTCGAAAACTCGAATGTTTATGTATGAAATGCACAGCAAGTTAACTCCGGATATTTAAACGATCTCCTGCCACCTACTATTGCAGAAAATAACCGATACACTCTTATAGAAATAACAGTGATTATAGAGTTCCTCTAATTGGGCTTTCTCTTAAAAATCTCTTCCTTATACCTTCCACTCTTCGTAGCTGGAATTCGTTAAATCTATCAGTACGATCGTGGTCTTCTATACATTTATTTAAAAATCTTTACTTCAAATGTACAACCATCCCCTCCTATCTACTTCATTTTTGGAGACCGTCAATTGAATATTATACATACTAAACTGAGGCACAAGTGTAGTTCCCTTAAATATGACATTTATAGAGTGAATCCTGTTGAAAGTCAAGTTTACAAATGTGGACATCCATCATGTGAGAAATGAGAATACCTTTCACTTTTCTTTAAGTGTCAACTTTTTGGCAACGAAATGCGTAATATGTTTCAAAATTTGAGTGCCTTGGCTATAGACTTAAATTTAGAGATTCTTTTGTTTGGGCAGTTCAGATCTTTCGGCATCCTCCATGTCCAGTGGTTACGCTCACTTTCGCTCTCTACGGCAAAATTGAAGGCACAAAGATAGCTGTTTGATTGGTCTCAGGTAACAAAAACTTACCAATCGCAAAGCTGATACCTGTCCTTTGAAGATTACAATGGAGCGACACCCGAAAGCCTTGGTTTAACAAAACAAACAAAAAAAAACCCAGTAACATTTCAAAAATGGGGTGAAAATTTGGATATTTTTCATGAGTGCGTAGTGAAATTTATTTTTTATTCTATCAAGAAATGAAAAATATTCTGTTTATATCGTTTTTCTTATAAAACGTTCACTCAGGTTAATGATTCCTGTACCGCTACCAAAAAATGTAAAAACAAAAATGAAACCATTGCTATAGGTTTGATACATTTTTTCTGTAAAGAAAAACACACATTGCGTAACCTTTATGAACTAAAAATAAAAGATCAAATAACAAGAAAAAAATCTACAATGGTGGTCCGAGTGTAATAATGAAATGAAGCCAGCCAAGGATTCAAACCCTGGTCCTCAGATCAGTACGCTGTCGCTCTTTAAAACTGAACTGACTTGTCAACGAAAATATTCAAAATGCAAATAGGGGAGATAACTGTATTTACAATACACTTACATGGAATTTTATAGTGTTTGTCTGCAGCGGGACAGGCATCCTTAACGGCTTATCCATCTCCCGCCAAATAAAAAGTGTTGTGGAAATGAATGCTATGTGTGACGTCACAATAAACATTTCGTAAAGGCAACAGTTACGTCAAAATGGACAATTAACAATGTTATTTTCACATAAAGCACTGCCATCTGATTGGTCACTTAAGTGTGAAAACATAACAAAAATTTGTGTGTGCTTGAATCAGGTTATCTTTGCGAATTTGCCTCATTATGGTAGCCCGGATTTGATGCCGACTTTTAGAGTGCCACCTCACTGAAACACCAGCCGAAGGCAGCCAGCATAGCATTCCGCCTGGTCACATTATACTGACAACGGGTGACCCAGTTGTTGTGAGTACCCAGAATGCTGAGCGTTTTAGGGATTTTGGTTATACATAGCCTGGAGAAAGAACCCATTATCTTCCTCATTTGGGCAAACATTCAACACTAAAGCCAATTGTGGGGTATTAAGATAAGATAAGTTTAAGATAAGATAAGTTTATTTCCAGTTCAGGACTTATACATAAAGGCCTCTATACCAGAATAAAAAATGCATACAAAGTATTATTATGCGTATAATATATACAATTTGACAATTATATGATTGCAGCTCTGTAATTTAAAAAAAGCTCCTTGTTTTTCCAGTGGTTGTCTAGTTCATTTTTATATTTGTTAACATTATTTGCTGAAGTAAAATGTTCAGGTAGTTTATTTCATGTTGATGCAGATCTTATTGAAAAAAGTGTTTTTCTTTAGCATTGTTGAAGAGCGTTTTGGGTGTATCGTTTTTTAGTTTACTCGGCGGCTGTGTCGTTGAGCGGCGTCTTCCCATAACAACTACTGCATTGCAGCATTCCTGGTCGTATACTCCAGTAATCATTTTATATAGTTCTATCATTTCTCCTCTTGCTCTTCTGGCGGCTTATGTTGGTAGCTGGAGTCTTCCCAGTCTCTGGCTGTAGCTGAGGTTACTCATGCATGGGAGGCACTTGGTTGCTCCTCTTTAAACTCCCTCTATCATATCGATGTGCTTTTTTTTAGCTCGCGTAGTCCAAGTGTGAGCGTACTAATGGAACAAACGACATTTGATCCATAAATTGGAATGTTCTCATAAGGAGTGCAAACATGGAGTTCGCTGTTTTTACTTTTTTCACTTATGTGGTTATCAAAGGATAAATCGGATTCTATGATAACCCCGATATCCTTTTCCTGTGTGACTGTCTGTAAGTCTTTCCCGTAGAGATGACAGGTTGGTCCGGGGGTTTCCTGTCCTCGGGTGGTCTCCTTACCCAATCCCATGTGTTTGCACTTGTCGGGATGTATTCTAAGTAGCACTTGCACATTGTATCTAAATCTCTCTGGAGATCAGCACTATCTTCCCTGTTATTTAAACATTTTAAAAATCTTGATGTCATCTGCAAATAGATACATTTATGACTGGACCGAGCATGGCAGATCATTTACAAATATAACGAACAGCAAATTTCCGAGAACAGTTCCTTGGGGGATTCCCGATGTGACATCAGTCCATTCGGAGTCCGCGCCGTTTACTGATACTTTCTGTTTCCGGCCTTTTAAAAATGTTGTTATCCAAGAAATTATTTGTTCTGAGAAGTTGTACGAATGTAATTTACATATTAGCCGGTTATGCGGAATGGTGTCAAAGGCTTTTTTATAGTCCATATATATACAATCGATGTTCTGTCCTTCATCCAGAGCCTCTGTCAATTTATCCAACACTTCTAAAAGTTGTTAGGAAGTTGACCTTCCAGATATGAAGCCGTACTGCTTCTGCGAGAAGTAATTGTTGTTTCTCATGAACTTTGTTATGTGTTCCCTTATGACGGATTCCAAGACTTTGCATACGACCGATGTTAAACTCACAGGCCGGTAGTTTCCTGTTGCGCATTTGTCATCCTTCTTGAAGATGGCACAAACCCGTTTTTTTCCCCAGTCGTCTGGTAGAGTTCCTGATGTCATCGATTGGTTGAGATGTTTCGTCAGTGGGCATGTTATTGCTGGTATTGCCAAGCAAGGCTCTACGAAAAAAAGGTATTTGGAAGTAGAGAGAAATATAAATATTCCAAATATTGCAATGGTTGAAGCAGATTTATTTCGGTCGCTTTTGTGTCCCCAAGTAGAGAGGACAAAAGTAAATCCCTAATTATGCAGGGGGCTCCCACATAAGTCGCCTCTTACATATCCAGTGAGTAACAGCAGGTGTATTCTCCGACCTGCAAGGGGTGATTTTCAATTCACTTTAAAATTGTAATATTAATGTAATTAATATAAGCTCCAAGCTTGTTTTCCCATCCCATATTTACAGTTGTATTTGTAATATTGTTGATTATATTGAATAAAATATTGTTTAAACTAAAATTGTAATAAAAAGTGTTATTTGTAAACGTAGAAACATATTAACTTCATTTTAACAATTAAACCAGAGACGTATAGTACTCTAGAGCTCTGGTTTTATACGTCTTACATTTCACATAATTATGAAAATTAAAAACATATTTCGGTAAAAATGCTACCCCAATGATGATATATACGAGATCTTGAGGTTTTTCTCCCTTCTCGTATATATCATTATTGGGATTGGCATTTTTACCGAACGTTGAGCTAGACCCATAAAAACATGTAAAATAACTCTGAACACCTTAGTTTAGGCAGAGACGTATAATACATTATTATAAGTCTCTGGTTTAGGGATACAAATAGGGCTGTCCCAATTCTCAGGTCCCTGTGGTTTTAGTCGCGTCGAAGTAGTATCACTCTTACAATAACGGATCTGCTACTCTAGATGCGTTCTTACTCGGTAGAATGTGGTTAAATATTATTTCCAAATTATTCCAAAACTGTAGCTGATCTGTTATCTAAGTCCGTGGTTATAACCACGGCATTATATGCTATCTAAGTCCGTGGTTATAACACGGAGCTAAACTTAAATTATTTGAAAAAACACATATTTTTTTGTATAATTAAAAAAAACCCACGAAAGAACAGACCGACAAAAAGGTTTATTAGTTGTCTCCACAATACAATATCTTTTATTTGAATAATACACTTTACTAAGGTATATATATGTATCTTAATTAACGTGTAGGGGATTGTGACAGGAAATTTAGGAGGTGAAAGATAGGAAAGGAAAAGAGGATAGGGGTTATTCAAAACGTTCGTGTTTCCAGTATATATTTTCATTTCCGTCCGATGCTATAATATATTCAATAAACTTCATTTAATATGTCGGTGTTTTATGTAATATATTACCTATAGTGCAGTAATAGACACATGTAAAACTAAATGCCCGTACGCACATAGTTAGATTATTGGAAAAATAGCCAACGGTGAAGTGCCCGTGACGTCAATGCAAACATATCACGTGATCACGCTTACAACTGACTGAACTGAATGTCATTCAAAATGGCGAGCAATCCGATGGATGCAGTGCTTGTGAAGGGGCAAGAGTTTCACGTCGGGCCGCGATATGTGGAGCTCCAGTACATCGGGGAGGGAGCTTATGGAATGGTAGTGTAAGTATTTATTCCTGTATTTGATGCTGAAGCCTACCAATGTTGCAAAAAATGGCGTACGACTCGATATTTCTTTGCTGCTCCTGGAACTTGGACCGGATTTTCGCTGGCGACAAGACTCCACTAAAAGTCACGGTGCCGTCTTGACCTGATATGGAGGTGTCGTATGCCTTGACGTCAGGGTCTGTTTATGGTCTTTGTTTCAACCTGACAGTGTTCGTGTTGGATAGAATGCATGCACGCGCGAGGGTCACCCATTACAGTGACCACGTGCATGATTATACGAGGAGTAGGAAGTGCGTGCGGACTGCAATACACAAATTATTAGTGTCTTTTATATTATAATAGTTCACGCTTCACCTAGATTGATTGTGCAATAGATTTCACGTGTCTCGTGGAACTTACTATGGCTGTCATAGCCAGAAATTTCAACTGTTATTGAGATGTGATATTATTAAATACACGTCAGGGCGCGGTTTGTTTATTTTTAGGTTATGGTTGTGCCGACAATATGTGTCTCATGTTTATGTCCATGTTGGCAACAAACTGTGTTAGTGACAATTAGACCGTGACATGTTGATATGGTATCATGTCTTCTGCAATACATGTTTTTTTGTCCAACTTATACCTGCCTGTGTTGTTTAGTCAATTCTGTTGCACTTCATGCTTGAGTTGTTATCTGAAATTTTATTCAGTGATACAGGATCTTCTGGGTCATGGGTAGTGCAGTGCGCTTGTGTACGATATATTTCATGAGGAAGTTGTGCTTTGATTATTGTTCATGACCAATGATCAACTAATTGCAAAATGATTGACATGTGTTGTGGAGGTAATTATCTTTCTGAATGAATCATTGATGAAATATATTTCAATAAGTAGAGCAGATAAGTTAATGAAAAGAAAAGATCACAGTTAACATTAATTGATCCTGTATGTAACATTGTTGCAATCATACATTGTTTCATGCTGTTGCCAATAGTGTATTTATTATTTTAAAGATAGAAACTTGAGTCTCACAGCTGTCTATTTTTGTGATCACATATATATCTCCACCATAGCTCTACCTTAACTCCTTCACTCCTGCATTTATTTAAACTGGACTTGCAAAGTCTTTGATTTTGTACGGTTTCAAATGTGACTTTAGGGGTGAATGGGTTAAAATGACTGTTTCTGAAGAAAAATAACCACTGATAACCAGTCCTGATGAACTAAAAAACTTTGATACTGATGTTTTCCCCCTAAGAAATAGCTGCAATGTAATTCATGATGAAATTCCTACTGTATTGCTTCCGGGTAATTTTCTTTATGATTTTCCTTCCATAAACTAATAGAGCTAAGTGTACCAGCCACTGTTCCATAACTCATCAACTATAGGGCACTGTTTCGATGACATTGTGAATTTTTTCTTTGACAATCCAACCATATAGCTACCAGGTTACTGCTTCTGGTATCATTATAACCATATAGCTACCAGGTACTGTGTCTGATGACAGTCCAACCATATAGCTACCAGGTACTGTGTCTTATGTCATTCCACACATATAGCTACCAGGTACTGTATCTTATGTCATTCCACACATATAGCTACCAGGTACTGTATCTAATGTCATTCCACACATATAGCTACCAGGTACTGTATCTTATGTCATTCCACACATATAGCTACCAGGTACTGTATCT